ATGAGTAGGACCTTTACCTTTGATGACGTGACAGGAAGCAGCTGAGGCCCACAGCACAGGTTCACAGGGCCTGAACCAGTCATACTGCTTTTTTCTTCCCTAACTTACAGATCAGATGAGCTGTGCTGTTTCCCTTCCCTCTCCCTAGGAGGTATGAGTAAAAACAGGCCAAGAGGTTTACTCTGAGAAAGCTCAGAAGTAGGGAGCAGTGTGAGACCCTCCAAACTTCATCAAAAGTTCCATGTGTGTTCCTTTGCAAGTTTTCTGAACATCTTATCGGTCTTCTTAGGGTCTTTGTTTCTAGCTTTGTTTCTCCCTTCTTCCTGCTCCCTGTGCTTCAGGTTTTCCCTGCCCCAGTGCTTTTTTCATGCTGCTCTTCTGTTTGTAAGGACTTCCTTTCTAATTCTGAACATTAGACTTCAATCCCCATTCAAGTACAGAACCAACTCCATATTCTTCAGGAGGTCGCCGTCAATCCCGTTATATCAAATCAATCTCTGTCCTACATTTCTGTGACACCTTGTTTATGCCCTTACACGATCTTCTCATTATTTATGCATGCATCTATAAAGACAAACACCAGTAGTTACTGGTCCAGAAACAGCAAAAGAGAAGAGAGGTGGGTGGAAGGCTAGGAGGGAAGGGAGGGGTTAAACACACGCGGGTTTGCATAGGTTTGCAAATGTGTGATTGTCACCCCTTCATGCTGTACATGCGCTCTCAGGTCATCCTAATTTCTTCATACCTGGCATTTCTTGCACTGGATCTGCCTCCTATAACTACATTACTTGCCTGGTCCCAATAGAATTTTGGCTTTCTGATCTGTGCTCTCCATCCTGCCTGGAAAGTAGCTGAATCCACTTAGCTTGAGACAGAGAAATGCCCCACTGTGTGTCAGCCTATTTCCTTGCAAGCACCACATTAATCTTCCTGTAGCTTGCAATCAGTGTCCCCAGGCCCATCTCTTGGGGTTGCTCAGATTATGCAGTCTGTCTCCTGCATATGACAGTCCCTCCAAAATGCAGAGTCATTTCAATCTCATCTCTATAGCAAGTGTACAATGGAAGTTGTTTTTAATAAACACTCTTAATGCTATGATTGATCATTATATGCTGACAAGTAAGGAAAGCCAGGTCCAGCAGAGAGGAATGGGAAGGTTGGGATTTTATGAGCATTTCAGAATTTTTTTAGCCTAGCATAATTGTGTTAGTGCACAAATGTTCTTTCTTTGACAAAAATTAGAGGATGAAGCTGATCTCAGGTCACATCTGGGCTCACTGGGAAAGGATGTTGGCATGGGTTTGTGATGGGTGACTGGAAAAGGAAAGAGAAGGCAGTGGAGGGATATTAGTCACTTGCCATCTGTTATGGCTCAGATTTGAAATTTCTTGCAGAAGGCCCATGTGTTCAGCAGTAGAGCTTTTGGAAGGAAATTGGATTATGAGGGTGCTACACTCATGAGTGGAGCAATCTCCTGATGGATTCATAATTGGATGACATTATCGGAAGGTGATGGAAACATGAGTTTGGATCTAGTTGGAAGGAGTAAGTCATGAGGGCATGCACTTGGAGGGCTATGTCTTGTCATTCATTCTTTCTCTCTCTCTCTCTCTCTCTCTCTCTCTCTCTCTCTCTCTCTCGTGCCACGAGGTGAGCAGCATTCTTATGCCATGATGCCACGATGTTCTAACTTACCTCAAACCTAAACACAATGGAGCCAGCACATCATGAACTGAAACCTTTGAAATCACAAGCCAGAATAAACCTTTCCTCTTTTAAGTTGTAATCCTCAGGTACTGTGTCACAGTGATGAAGAAGCTGACCAACATGCCATCCCTGTATTAATCAACATCATAGGTCATCAGGTAGGCCAGCTCAGCTGGAGTGAGGTGCAGATGGAATTTAGAATTCTTGACATCTATTCTACATTTTTGTGCTTTTGATCAAAATGCTCATTCTAGTGAAAATCAGAGGCCAGTGAAATGCCTATCCAGGCTTTGGTGGATTTTCTAGTTGTTATTCCTCATTTTCTTTCCTCTGAGCTGTCTCAACTGTCACGTCTCCTCACGAGGCTGAATTTTACATTAATCTGCTAATATATCTCTTTCCTTAGCTACATAAAAAAGAATCATCCTGCTTCTTCCACTGCCATTCTTTTTGGAAAGCACAATAATCAGTCTTTAATGAGCTTGTGACTCTGAACTGAAGTATAATAATTTCGGTGACTCTGCAGCTTCTGTTGATGAAAATACATTTATTTTAGAAGTTGATGACCTGTGGGGAAAGACTATTATTCTAAATACCATGATGAGATCATGGGAGCTGATGGAGTGCTTGATGGGATGGGAAAGGGAGGTGGAAGAGGACCAGTGAAAATTAGAATTGCATATGAATGAAAATAGATTATTTTCCATTCTGAGCAAGGGATCCTGGTTTCTTGATTCTTTGGGGTCACTGAATAAAAAAGTACACAGAAGTTTCTTGGGGATGGATCAACCCTTTGCACAGTGCGCCATCAGGTGACATGAAGGGTGACAGGGGCAGTCAGCCATGCATCCCATGATGGACAAGTAGAGGGTTCTAGGAGTAGAAACTGTAATGCTTAGAGGTCATGTTCCACACCAGACCTCAGGCTCCTTCTGCACTGAAATTTTATGTGAAGCACAATGTTTTTTATTATATAAAAAGCAAAGATCCCCAAAAATGAGTGAAAAAGTATAGAGTTACCCATACTCTCATGCCTTTGTAATTATCACAGACAGGGCCACACATACACATCTAGACATACACGTATACACAAGGATTTTTAAAGACAGGGGTCTTACTAACCATATTCTTCATTGATCTCATGTTTATGGTATAAATGTTATCATCATCTAACTAGGTGAACATATTTAGGACCATGTTGTTGTACTGGGCATTTATTGGTTACCCTTCAAACAGGTGTTCCTACCGTATCATTTCTTAATGAAACAGTTTCCAAGCCATGGGTTGTGGGTGAACCATCCTACTGTAGCTGCAAACTGTACTTTGATTAGCTTTGCCAATCAGCCTATCTTATTACCCACAGCTTGGTGACTGGTTCAGGAATGGACAGTTGAATATTTCAGGAATGGAGCCAAAAGGAGAATTTTGCTGAGGACTTTTGAGATGGATAGTTTGCCTCTCTTTCATAGAAGACTTTGGAATTGATGCTTTCTCTTACCTTGGATGATGTGGGATAAGAAGGTGGGATTGGGTGTTCGGTAACTTTTGTCACTATCAGGAAAGGGGATAGCAGAGACTGAAGCTACAAAGGGTGGAGTGAGAATATGGCAAAATAGAAATCCCTAGACTCATATGAGGAACCCTAGATCAAACCACATGTGAGATCTAAACTATATCTAGGCTTTTCAGTTAAATGAGCTAATAAATTTAACCCTGTTTAAGTTAAAATTTCAGTTACCAGCAACCCAAAATATTTTAAGTAGTACAATCACTTAAACTAAAATCAAAATGGATCAAAGATTTAAATTTTTTTGTTTTGTTTTTTGTTTTGTTTTTTCCTTTTTATCAGTACCGGGGATCGAACTCATGACTCCCTGCTTGCAAGGCAAGCGCTTATGCCGCTGAGCTAAATCTCCAGCCCAAAGATTTAGATATTAGAACAGAAACTAAATTTGCTGGAAGAGAGAACAGGTAGAACTCTTGAAGATGTTGGTGTAGGCAAAGGCTATGAACAATTGCATGGGAATTACCAAGAATCAACAACTAGAATCTTGATAAAATCTTTTGCACAGCAAAAGAAATTAACAAAATAAAGAAACAACACAGAATGGGAAAATACTTCTGCCAGTTGTTTCTCAGATGAAGGACAAATATCCAGAACATATAAATAACTGAAAAAAAATCAGACCCTGAAATTTAAAGACCCAGTTCAAAAATGGGCATCTAAAGTGTGCAAACACTTCTCAGGATGAAGTACAAATGACAAATAAATATATGAAAAATGTTCAACATCATTGGTCTTTTGAGAGATGAAAATTAAAACATTGCTGAGATTCCCTCTCACTTCAGAAAGAATGGCTATTATCAAGAAAACAACCAATAACAAATGCTGATAGGACTGTGGAGGAAAAGGATCCCTTCTCCACTGTTAGGGGGAGTGCAGACTGGTGAAACCACTGTGGATCAGTATGGGGATTCCTCAAAAAAAGTAAAGGGGCTGGGGATTTAGATCAGTGGCATAAGCGCCTGCCTGGCAAATGCAAGGTAGTGAGTTCAATGCCTGGCACTATACACACACATACACACACACACACACACACACACACACACACACACAATACAAGATGTGCCAGTTGACCCATGTTTTCCTTCTTGGTATCTTCTTTAAAGAATGAAAAGCTTCATACCACAGCAAAACATGTGCACTCATGTTTATAGAAGCACATTTTGTAAGAGCTGAATCTTGGAAACAACCCAGATGCCCATCAACCAGTTACTGGATAAAAATTTTTTGATATAGTTTTTTACTATTCTGCCATAAAGAAGTGCATACTTGAGACATTTCTAGGTAAACAGATGGACCTTGAGACCACACTCTTAAGTGAGATAAATCAGACACACAGGTATAATATCACACTGTGTCTCTGGTGTGAGAAACTAAAAGTATAAATAAGGGCCCAAACGTACTATAGATATTGTGAAATAGGAAGAAATCATTCAAATACAAAGGGGAACTAAGGAGATGGGAGAGGAGAAGGAAGAAAGAGAAAAGAAAAGTGAGAAACGAAGGATAAATTTGAAACGAAGTTTTTATAAATAAGAAGCAGAAGAGAGGTTGAAGGGAAGGGAGGAGAGAGGAAAAACAGGAGGAATCAAGATATGTTATGTATGTGTACAAATTTCCTATGATGAGTGTGATCATTATGTATAACCTCATACCATTAACTAATAAAAAAGATCCTTAAAGAATGAAATAGTATTTTATTATATGTATAATCTATGGATGTTTTCAGGTCTACGTTCCAGTGTGAGGATCTATTTAAGGACTTCTATGTGGTAAGTATATACATATCTACTTGCCAAGTACAGAACCAAGGTCCAGAGGGGGCAATGGGTCTCTCCAAGGTCTTCATCCTAAGGTCACAAAACTAGTTAGCAGCAAAATGAGGCTTTCTGAATCCTGCATCAAAATGCTTTCTAATTAATTATACTTAAATGTAGAGCCATGCGGGTCCAGGGGAAATAATAATTTTGAAAGATGGAATCACATCATTAAGCTGACAGTAAGGATATAAAAGTGAATCAGTTGTATCCTCAATTTGAAGTGTTTTGTATATCTTAATGTGAGGCAAGGAATGATTTAGAGATTAGAGCAGTAGTTATCAAACTATGGACTGGGGAAATCTTCTAAGGGGTCAGTGAGGTTGAAACTATTTTTATATAATGTTAAAATGATATTTTCCTTTTCATCTTCATTCTCCAAAGGGATGTTACAGCAGCTACCTACCTGTATGTGACACACAGCAGACCAAATGCAGAAGGACACAGGAGACCCTTCTGCATCTATAAAGCCATACGTTAATGGCATTTACAGAAATGTCAAACAATTCCACTCTTCTCATTATGGGCAGGTACAACCCACGTAAGCATAAGCCAGTGGATCCCTCAATATTTTGAAGAGTGTAAAGACAATCTGAGACCATAAATATCAAGAACCACTGGATTAAAACATAAGCATGATTTTCAACTAAACTTCTTTCAGAAGTCTATTTTAGTTTATCTTCATTTCTGATTCCTGGAATCCACACACATAGTACAGTGTGAACTAGAAATTTGGCCATCAAAGGTTAATATGTCTAGCATGGCTTAAACCAATTTGTACAAGTTTGGTAAGAAAAAAAAGCACTTTGGGATCAAAACAAATTTATGTATGTCAGTGAAATTGATACGAAACTGTTCATTTCTTTGCAGTCTTTGGTCAAACAAAAAAGCACTCTAGTTCTGTGGTGAGAGATTATCACTGTACTGCAGTCTATATCCATTAGAATTTCTGGTGGTGTGCACCAAAAGTTGACTCTGGCTAATTGGGTGGAGAGAGTTCATCAAAAAAGATCCTGAGGGCTCTCACAGTTGTTAGAATTGGAGACCCACACTTGAAGTCAAGCTTTTGGGAGTGGTAAAAAAAAAAATGACACCACTGTACTGGGTTGATGGGAGAATAATTCACCTGCTCTTATCTCACCAAACTGTAGATCTTTGTGCCCAGATCTCAGCCTAGCAGACTTTGTTACCTTGGAAGCTGGATTCTTTTCCACGATTCTTGCCCGTGGAATGAATCTTTTGCAGAGCCTTATTACTTTAGTCTTTCTCTTTAGAATGAAAGTCTTCCAGGAGTGTCTGATTGCCAGAACTTTAGGCAAACACCTTTGTCCAAGTTACAAGGAGGCTGAGGTTTGACTGAGTAGTCTGGGATTTGCCTTGGAGAGATGGGATGCACAGGGCTGAAACTATCCCTAATATAGCAAGAATATTTAACACAATCGGAGAAGCCTGGAAATGATGCTGTCTGCAACACATGGTGTTAGCAGTCCTAGAGTAGTAACAGGGAAGGACAAGGAATGTCTGGGTTTGGATCCTGACTCAGTTGTGACTGTGCCTATAGTGTGACTATAGGCAAGTCACTTGAAGCCTCAATGATACCGCCTGTCTCCTTTGGAAGGTGAGTGTACTGTATTAAGTCAGTTTTGTGGGTGCAATTACACTCAATGTAATCCTGTATGAACTTAGTACCTCTAAATGACAACTATCAATATTACCAATTTCTAGATTCTTCCATAGACACTTACTCTCTCCCTAATGGGGTGAAGGGGACTTGGGGCACAAAGAGGCCAAGTGATTCGCTTAAAATTTGAGCAATGCTAGCATTGGGACATGTTTCTGAACTCCCTGATTTTGGATCTGGTCCAAGTTCCTGAGCCTCTTGTACAATTAAAAGGTAGCAGATATAATAAAGTAATAAGGAAGTAATCTCACCTTAAGTGATTTTTTTTTAGGGTGAGAATATTTAAACTGATTTTTATTTGTCTTATTCTTTTCCGTGCTTGAAAATTTTACTCATGAGTACACAATATTAAAATAATTAAAAAAAATAAAAGTAGCAGGAAAGCTCTTTTTGCCCTGGGAGAAAGATTTGTTTCAGTTTGTGTTCCTTTCAAGGTGAGGGTGTGGGAAGCAACCTAAATGCAGGGTTTCTAATGTGCACTGAAGAGCTAAATCTAGAGGAACATTTTCTATGTGTGTGTTACTGATTAAGAAAGTGCTCCTGGAGATTATCCAAATAACAGGAATCCTCGGTAAGATGAGTTGGGGGACGATGTTGGAGTGAACTCTTCTTTAATCGCCCAGCTTCTCAGGGCCTTCGCTTTACTAACGTGCCTTGAGACTCGCTGAGAGGGACTCACAGAACTGAAGCTCGTCTTATTCCAAGGTGACTTTGCAGGATTAAAATTCTGGTGAGTACACTTAAGGAGATGTTGGATGATCTCAGAGGCCACTTCAAGCTGTAAATTTGGTGATTTCTATGAGCTCATTTAATTTTTCCTCCACGTAGGCAAAATGAGAAACTGTGGTCCTTCAGGGTTCTTGATATTTATGGTCTCAGATTGTCGTTACACTCTTCAAAATATTGAGGAATCTAATGGCTTATGCTTACGTGGGTTGTACCTGCCCATAATGAGAAGGGTGGAATTGTTTGACATTTCTGCAAATACCATTAACGTCTGTCCCTATAGAAGGCAGAAGGTTCTCCTATTTCCTTCTGCATTTCACTATGAAAATGGAGATTTCTCAAACCTCTATTTTTTCCTACTGACACACAGTGTGAGTACATGTATGAACTGAATTGTGTCTTCTTTGGTATGTTGAACCCTCAAATGTGACCTTCCTTGGAAGTCAGATCTATATAGTGACACTCAAGTTAAAATGAAGTCGTTAGTGTGTGCCTTGGTCCAGGGTGGCTGGTGACCTGGTAAGAAAGAGTAATTTGGATACAGAGGTAAGCATGTGTGGAGGAAAGACAGGGAGAAGGCCACGCAGAGATAGAGAGAGGCACTGGAGAGATGCCACCACCTGCCAAAGGCTACCTGGGACTCCTAGAGGAAGGGAGAGGCAAGGAAGGGGATCATTCTCTGTGGGTTTTGCAGAGAATACGTGCCTAACAGCACCTTGATTTTAGACTCAGGGCCTCCAGAACTGTGAAACAATAGAATTCTGTGACCATCACCTTGCCTACTTTGTCGCACATGCCCACAAAATGGACACAGCAGATAAAACATGAGCCTTGGAATGCTGCTTGCATTCTAGAGCTAAGTCTGAGGTCTGGATAGAGCCTTTCTCAGCCTGCCTGGGGAGAAAGCCACTGACCCCAGCCTTGGGTGGACAGTACTTCTGTTTAACAGCTAGGAACAAGGAGATTTTCCATCTTTTTCTTGGACCCAATGTCCTTCTGCCTCCCTTCTCACCTCAGCAGCAAACAAGAGAACTTGGAGGCTCATCAGCTTTTTACAAACAAACAGCTTCCTTTAATGTTTGCTTTGTCTCTATCTGGGCAGGGCTGTTTTCTCGTGCTGGGCTGCAGGGCCATGGAATGTGACCTCTCTCTGTGGAAAGAGCCAAGAGCAAACTTTGCCAGCAGAGTTGGCAGGTGTCAAGCTGCCCTGGGTGTAGGCACCTGTTGCTTGAGTGTGTTGGCGGAGAGACACACTGCCCCCAGGCAGGGCTCACCCCTCCCAATTATGCAGGTCACTCCTGCAGTCATAACACGATCTTCCAATGGATCTTGTGTCTATCCCAGGTTCTGGAGGCCTCAGAGGCACACAGCTGAATTAATCTTCACACTGGTGTAAAGTAGGCAGAGCGTCCCCCTCCATTTTATTAATGAGAACACTGAGCTTCAAAGAGTAGAAGGGACTTTTCCCGGGTCATAGAATTAATTCATAGCAGAGACTACCTCCCCAAAGGAGTTGCTTATGGGAAGGGCTTGGTGTTTGCCTGAGAAAATACAACAGCAAGGCGACATGCAGTGAGGTGCAGAGCAAGGGAAGAATGCTGAAAAACAGGGGTAAGGGGCCAAGTAACCCCTAACTTTGGGGTCAACTCTAGGTTCTGCTAATATTTGATGTGTGACATGGCAAGCTGCTCTCTGTGCTTCAGTTTGTCTGAGAGGTGAAGGAAATAATTATACCTGTTTTGTGAGAATGTCCTGATCCCTGGATGAGAGTATATATGTGTTTAACTTGGTGTTCAGTGTGTGGGAATCATTCAGTTAATCACAGATGTGATTGCACCTTTGCTGAGCTGGCCACTCTGGGTGAGGCAGGTGCAGAGGAGGTGACGGTCCTGATGGGACTTAGGGATGCTGGTCAGGGAAAGGGGCCAGGACAGATCCCAGGCAGTTAGTGGGAGCTGGAGCCTGACTGGAAACCAAGTCCCCACGAGTGATTCTGCAGCTTATGTTAAGGGCCTGTGAGCAAAACAAAATAGAATCTGTCCAAAGCTTCCAAAATGTTCTCAGCTGCCAATCCTAGTTATGTTTTCTAAGCCCTGCTCAGATAACTTGAACTCCTACTCCCTTAGAGACAAGGACTGTGACCGTTTCAGGGTCAGGATGCATCTTGAGCAATGTGGCAAGGGCTGGGCAGGGCTTGTTTCCACAAGGAGGCTGCTGGCTCTCACTCTCATGGTCCTGTGGCCGAGTTGTGCCTAATGGTGAAGATACGGAGCTGCGGTAAGTTGCAGGCCCAGCTGGTCAGCTCTCCTGAAGGCAAACATTAGTCCCACAGTCCCTGCAGTGTGGAATAAGAGGGCAGGGCTCTCAGACCCTTCATTCTCCTCACATAGAAGCATACGTGTCCTGCCTGTCCCTCAGCATAGGTCCGACAGTGACTCTGCTCACCTCAGTCTTCAGCAGCTACCTCCTGCTTATACTCTGTGCAGTGAAGCTGGAATTTCTTAGCCTGGCATTCAAAGCTTTAAAGATCTGACTTTGGTCCAGATGTGCAGCTTGTCCTTTGTGGGGTCCTTTAAGAGCCCAGACATTATGAATCTGCCTTTTCTTCATTGAGGACCATTTCATGCTGCCCTGCTCTGATGGCTAAAACAATTTTGCATGTAGTATGCTTGGATAAGAAAGACCCATGTTAGCCCAGTGGCAAAAAGACATGATTGGTTTAAGCCACCATGTTTTAGGTTAACTGATAATCAAGCCATCAAATTAATTTGGTATTTTCTAGATGATGAATGATGATTTCGGTTGTTCTGGGGAGTAAACTCAGGGCCTTTGTGCTGAACCACAGCCCCTGCCATTCTGTATATTTTATTTTGAGATAGGGTCTCTTCAAGTCACTAAATTATCCAGATTGGGCTCAAGTTTGTGGACCTCCTGCCTCAGCCTCCCAAAGTGCTGGGATTGTGGGTGTGTGCCACCATGTCTGGTTAAAAAGTAATCTGGATAGTTACCATTCCAGTATTAAAGGCAGGAGAACAAGCCTTTATTTAATTCATTTATTTATTTTATTTTAAAGAGAATAAAACCCAGCAATACAAAATAGAATAAAGTCAATCAATATAACATTAAATAAAACAAAACAATAAATTGGAACAAAACAAAACAGTGAGAACAATACTTCACATTGTCATCTTCAAAGTAGTTGCTCAGGTTACCAGACACAGGGATAAAGCAAAGTGGTAAAACG